TGCCAAAGGAGTACAAGCGTGGTTACTGAGCGTAACCGGATTCGTACAAGTTCAAAGTCAACGGGAGAGTAAGTATAGTGGCTGTCATTAGCACAGTTAAACAAACGAGCACAGTAAAACAGTCATTGGTACAATTGGTTATAACAATAATTGTTTTCATTGAATCAATCGCGTTCTGTTGACAAAAGTAGATCACTACAGGAGCCCCCCGCTAGAAAGGGTTTACACTTTCGATAGTTATCGGTTTGATTCGTGGGACTGATCGGAAGAAGTGCGGTTGTAGGACGGAGGAAATTGGCGGAACAGGAAGTGATCGTTGATCCTCGAGTTGCCAACGAATGTTTTTTGCGCAGAACGGTACCAGGAGAAGTGTGCTGTATTTGTTGGTCGAATTAGCATACCACACCAGAGTGGTTTGTATCCAGAATCAAATGATTGCGTTCGTAGGGATGTGAACCAGAAAACGCTGCAGACGTAGGACGAAACCACGTTGAGCCAAGAAACCGGAGGCGACCATAACAACCAAGCGTATGCCAGGCGAATTCGAGACCAGATAATCGACTGAGTGCGTTGACTAGAGCATGGGTGGCCAAACCAGCTTTTGCCAAAGTTGACTGAAGTCGACGTTACCGAACGAGCGATGGTCGGAGGCGTGGGCTCAGGATACAAAAAAAATCAAAAAAAAGAAATGTGTAGCATGCGTGTAGTATAGGAATAATCCTACACCGTATCTGTTATTGACTGTGCGTTTAGTCGCGAAAGCGTACGGGTAATCGTACTCGGCGACCGGAACGTGAGACGGTGGTCTCGTTCGTACTTCGTGAGCCTGCGATCTCATTCGAGGTCAAGGGCGGCGTGGTCTGCCGATTTGGACGTGAGACGGAAGTCTCGTCCGTAGATGGTGCAGATGACGCGTGCTGTTGACCGGGACGTGAGAACGAGGTCTCTGATGTATCTAGCATGGGATCCGAGGTAGACGTAGAGATCCCGCTAGAAGGTTTGATAGGTCTAGCATTGAGTCTCAAGTTATCGGGTAGGGCACTGTCATCGACGTGTGCTGGTTTGAGACGATCAATGCTGACGATCTCGACGCGGCCGTGTCGATCAACCTTGAAGGTCTTTTCGTGACGAGAGATCACGTGAAAAGGTCCTTCGTAAGGCTGTTGTAGAGGTTTGCGTACCGAATCTACGCGTATGAAAACATGTGAACAGTTAGATAACTCTCGAGGGAGAGCGACCTGTCGATGTTGTATTCGAGTTGAAACGGAGACAGCGTTCGCATAAATGCAGACAGTCGATGGACGTAGTCTGATTTACCGAAATCGTTACTGCTCCGTGGTGTGAAGAATTCCCCAGGCAGACGCAATGTCGTGCCGTATACAAGTTCAGCGGCGGAACATTGAATATCTGCCTTCAAACTCGTTCTGATGCCTAAGAGAACGAGCGGTAAGGTTTCGTACCAATTGTCGTTTTCGTGTGCTCGGAGAGCACTTTTAAGTTGGCGACTGAACCATTTGATACTGGATGGTAGGTGGTAGTGCGTATGCGTTCCGTACCAAGCAGCCGGGTCAGTGAGGAGAAAAATGCGGACTCAAATTGTTGTCCTCGGTCAGTCGTGACAGTCGAGGGACAACCGTACAATGCTATCCATCGTTCTACGAAGCGGTGAGCAACTGTCTCCGCCGTGATAGACGTGATGGGAATAGCTTCGGGCCATCTTGTAAAGCGGTCAATGCACGTATGTGATCATACCCATGCGATGGTGGCAATGGTCCTACAATGTCTATATGTACGTGATCAAAGCGAGCATCAGGCGTAGCGAACGTGCCAATGGGGGCAGCTACGTGCCTGTGCACTTTTGATCGTTGACACTGTAAGCATTGCTTTACCCACATACGAACATCTTTATTCATGAACGGCCAGACGTATCGTGCAGCGATGAGACGTAATGTGGCTGCGATACCTGGATGAGACAATCCATGAAGGGCATCGAAGACGAGACGGCGATAGGTAGAGGGTACGATGGGTCGAGGAAGACCGGTAGAAATATCACATAGGATAGTACCTGAGCTAGTAGCTAGGGGTACTTCCTGACACTGAAGGGACGAAGATTGTGGTGCTTCTGTACAGACAGGATCGTTTGCTTGCGCGGTGGTCATAGCAGGAAGATCGAGCACCGGTAAGGTAACTGCATTCGTCTGGATACGTGAAAGAGCATCGGCAACATAGTTCGGCTCGCCTTTAATGTGACGAAGGTCTGTCGTGAACTGAGAGATATAGTCCAAATGTCTGCACTCTCGTGGTGAGTAGCGGTGAGACTTTGTATGCAGGGCATACGTTAAGGGCTTATGGTCGGTGAATAAAATGAATTGGCGTCCTTCTACTGCGTGCCGGAAATGTTTGATGGCGCAGTAGGCTGCAGGCAGTTCGCGACCAAAAGCGCTATATCTCGTCTCCGTGGGAGTAAGGCGTCGTGAGCAAAATTCAAGCGGTTGCCAACTACCGGAGATATTCTGTTGCATGACGGCTCCTATAGCGAAATCTGATGCATCAACCGCTATACTAAGCGTGGCTGATGGGTCAGGATGAGCGAGGAGTGTAACTTCAGCGAGAACCGTTTTGATCTCTGAGAATGCAGTACGTGCGGTATCGTTCAATTCTAATTTGCGTGGATTACCGCGTAGTAAATCGGTCAATGGTCGTGACCGTTCTGCCGCGTGAGGGATAAAACGTCGGTAGAAGTTAACCAAACCGAGAAAAGCCTTCAGTTCCTTGATTGAGGACGGCACGTTGTACTTCTTGATTGCTCGAATTTTGTCCTCGCAAGGCAGAATACCCTCTTGTCTGATGATTTGACCCAGAAATATTATTTCTCATTTACACAATTCGCATTTCTCTGGGTTGACTACTATTCCATTATCCGAAAGACGTTGGAATAATAGCGTAAGGTGTTGATAATGTTCATCTACGTTTGATGATGCGATCAGCAGGTGAACAAAATCCAAGTCTCGTACTATGCTATCGATAAACCTTTGGAAAGTTTGAGCAGCATTCCGTAATCCAAATGGCATTCGTAGGAACTCAAACAGACCGAAAGGAGTCGTGATAGCAGTTTTTTCGATGTCTTCAAGAGCGACTGGGATCTGGTGATATGCTCGTACCAGATCGATTTTAGAAAAGATAGTCGTGCCCCTGAGCGATGCCGTGATGTCGTGTATGTGGGGGATGGGGTAGCTATCAAAGCGCGTAACTACGTTTAATGCTCGGTAGTCGCCACATGGTCTCCAACTAACCCGATCCTTTTTGCGCACCATGTGTAAAGGAGAGGCCCAAGGACTGTGAGAAGGACGAATAATACCAGCAGATAGTAAATTGTCAAACTCACGTTTAGCGAAAGCTAATTTGTCCGGTGCCAGTCGGCGTGGTCTTTCCGTGACTGGTGGTCCGCGGGTGACTATGTGGTGTACCACACGATTGGTCACCGATGAAATCTCGTCGAGTGGTTTAGTTAATCTGGGGAATTTCTCGAATAAAGTGTGCAATTTATCGTCACGCGAATAAAAAGTGCCGAGGGTTCGGTACGCGTACATCGGAGTCTATTATATTAATACTATTCTTATCGTTATCCGTCATGTCAAATATATATATTAAAAATTAATATGAAAATATATGACAGACGTGGATAGATAAAACAATAGACTCACCGAATTGCCTTCTTTGGAAGATTTGACCGAGGTTGAAGCGTGTTCCAATATTTGGCTCACCAATTGTAGCGTGGTGTCGAGTTGAGCTTGACAATGAACACCGCTACCAGACTACGTGCCAATAGACCAATAAGATTCCGGTAGGCCAAAAATCAGAAGACAGATGATGGCTGTAGTCGAGATGTATTTGTTGGCGATCTCGTGGTATCGAAAGAATACCGAGATCGTGCCAAAGGAGTACAAGCGTGGTTACTGAGCGTAACCGGATTCGTACAAGTTCAAAGTCAACGGGAGAGTAAGTATAGTGGCTGTCATTAGCACAGTTAAACAAACGAGCACAGTAAAACAGTCACTGGTACAATTGGTTATAATAATAATTGTTTTCATTGAACCAATCGCGTTCTGTTGACAAAAGTAGGTCACTACACACTTATTACTTTGACATTTCTTTCCTTTTCGCGAAGTCAGTTTAGGAAATTGGATATTCGTACAAAATGACGCGAAACCAGTCTTGCTTCAATTAGTTCAGACAGTTAAATAATCAACCCTAGAATTTGTGGCTGGATTACTACAAATAGTTCAATCTTATACCATGTACCCGGCTGTAGACCACCAACGTAAATGATTTATGTCGAATGTTTGGAGGCCTATTTCAATTAGACGAGAATGCTGTGACGAACCAGCTAACGTCGAAGTCACAACTCGTGGTCAGCGCTTAACTTAGACTGCCTCACTGACTAATAAAGGTACTATGGATGCTTTGAAGACTGCACAACACAGAGGACGTTATTACAGAAATATATTAGGTAAAGTAGATACATGCGAAGGTAAGACCACCGCCGCATGAACTAGTCCATGGCGAACGAATAACTAATGCGCGTCGGTTATCCTTGACCTCGAAAGGGATCGACGATCGACTCGATATTCATTGGCCCAACTGTCGGATGATTTGACTAGGGTTCAGTGACATTTCACTGGCCACACACGTTAAAGTACCTATGGTCTCTTTGGTTTCGGTTTCAAAATTTTCCTAATATGAGGCTTCTGTTGTTGCTCATTATTATTTATTGCTTTCCTAACTAGATGCAAGTGCGTTATCTACGCTTTCTAGGTTGTCGACTGACCTTTTCTTTAGTTCTTCATCTTTCAAACACTTAACAAATGTTACTCTACATGCTCTCACAGGATCTTTGAGCTAGACGCAAACCGCTGCGATCGTGTAGTGTATTTGTCTGAAAATTTAGGCATCAGTTAGTCATTTCAAATCAACTAGTTGTAAAGTTTAGGTGAGTCATTATACTACAGCACCTCATGGCGTCTGAACTGGCGCAAATTTAAAAACTCACATTGAACAGAATGGGTTTCCACTATTGTACGGATATATAAAAGAATTCAAATCATTTTTGTGAAGCTAGAAGTAAGTCGTCGAAGTTTTTCTGTACTCGTGCTCTGAAAACCCATTCTGCGTGCGAGATTGTGGAATTATTTGATATAATACAGTAGTCTTTGTGTAAATTTATCTGAATTTTGCACGCAAGTTTACCGTTTTGGGAAAAAGTAGCGTATAGTGTATTTAAACACTTTTGGACTTCAGAATGCAACATTTTTACTGTTACACATCTCACAGAGATAGCTCTGTTGGAACTTTGCTGTATCTAATCACGGACGAACAATATCTCGTCAAACTAATCGATACCCTCCTGTACGTCGTGGAAATTCAAATCTTATAGGTTTTCTGACTTTGACCTTTAAAATTGGAGTTACTTATTCATCAAACTTGGAACGAAGTTATACTATTTCAGTTCCAAGGACGAGAAATGTTTTCATTCCTAAATATAATGCTACTAACTTAATTTGTGACAGTATGTAGCAATTTACAACATATTTCAATCATACTTTCTTATTGCGGTGTAGCAGTGACGCAAGCCTAACTAGTATACATGTTAGAAAGCTGTAGTTTTTAGTTGAAATATTGACTAACGTTTTGGATTTTATATTCTGAACAAACTTTGGTAACTTTGGATTATTTGAGGTGTATATACTTGTATATTGTATTAAAAGACCTCGTCAATTAGTTTTAAAATAACTATCGAAGAGTATGTTTGGGTAAAATTTTATCTTTCTTTATATTTCGGTTTTTAGTGCTAGAAACGTTCATTAGACAAGTACCACAGAATCAATAACAATCGGTTTTATTATTTAAACCGCTATGCTTGTAAGGCTGAGTTGTGTATTAAGATCATTTAGTAACACAACTATTTTTATATCTGAACTTACAGTCACATGTTAGTCAACTGTGAGTCTTCGTATGTCTGAATGTTTATTACCTAGCGACTTTTAGGTTATCGTTATCTTTATATCATCTCTTTTAGACTAAAAGAACACTCTTTGATGCTTCCATAAAGATCGTTAATTAGCCAGTGAATTAATGTTTTAGCATGGTTTTTGATGAATTGGTTATATTTCATGTTCATAGCTTTTTATTATTGGAAATTATTTTCCTTTATTGATTAGTGCCCAGTAACAGAGTATTTGTTCCGAGGTAAGGGTCTCCCGGTAGATTTTCATTTTTTGTCATCTTAAGCAATAGCCCGATTAGTAACTTGAAACGTCGAATATGACTCAAAGTAAAAATCATTGTTGGTCATATTGTAGTTCGTTGTTATGAACCTTTAGAAAACCATAAGGGGTTATTCCTCAACTAGCTACCGTTAGCGCTTACATATTTGGTCCTTGGTTTGACAGCATTTCAACTCTCCTGATGGTCTTATTGTATCAAGCTTTTTGTTTCGAATAGGAAAAGAAAATGTCCGGTGCTTTGACTGACTAGTGAACAAGTAGGGTTCACCTAGAGGAGTTGAAAAACCCTGATTTCAAACCAATGGAGCACATGGGCTTCAGGATTCAGGGGGAACAAATGGAGTATGCATATATGGTAGGTCACCGGCTACATTGGGACTGCATCTCCTTACGTTACTCCACTGCCTTGTGGATTAGAACTTCAGGTCAAAGGCTCTAGGTGTGGCCCCTCGAAAAACCACGTGCTTCCGTTCGGCCTCTCTGACAGCACCAAATTCCTCACACAAATCAATGTTAAATACTACTGGCCTCATTGTTATCAAGTGGTGCATATGTATTTGGTGCCCTCTTGTGCAAATGTTTATATGTATAAAAGATTAGGCATAAAAGATATGACGTGCGTAACCTGCAGGGTTTGATCATAGGTTTTTCAAACAATAGCTCGGGTTTGATGGAACTGACATAGAAATCATGAAATAAAAGTAGACACACATGGGAAATCGGTTGCTGAGGCAGTGGAAATTCACAAACTGAGGTGTCTGGGACATGCATGCCCCGGTCCCGCCGACCTCGAGACGCAATGTTGGCCGGAGTAAGGACAGGTTAAATTAAAGTTAGAGGCGGCTTAGCGAAGACATGAGATCAGTGCATGAAGCTACTGACTATTGAACTGGATAATAATGGTGGTTGGAATCCGAGAGATGACTATGATCAATGCTTGAAGATATTAAGGAACATGTCTCAGAATCGGTCGCAATTTATTACTTTATTTATTTATTTGAACACAAATATTGGTACAAGGGGGCACCAAATATATATGCGCCACACAAAACAATGATAATTTGAAGAGAAAGGAGAAAAAAAGAGAGAGAACAATAATGGGGGAAACGGAAAGGTATAATCAGAAGAAATCTTTCAGTTAAGGAAGATACAACCACTTTTTATGAAGGAAGTAAAAGAAGGTTACAGCAGGATCGCTACTGGCTTCTATTCTGAGCCATATCTGATAACTTCTCTAGCCACTGTGTTACACCGTCTCTCGGATTCCAGCCAGGAAGTCGTGAAGGACCAACAGAAGCTAGCCCTTTGCAGCTTTCTTTCATACTACGACACCATGTCATATACTGACCGATCGGTCGCAGTGTGGCCAATTCATTCAGTGTCTCCCCCAAAATCTAAGCTTCAATATTATTTTATTGTATTTATTCTTCAAACACATTCCGTCTTTTGAAACAGTATTTCCCAGTGTTTAATCCTTTTATCCAACCTTGATACTACTTTTATTTCGAATTATTTGCCATCCTTTATGTTAATTTCTCACTTTTGTAATTTACCATGGGTTGTTTTGACGCATGCTTGTGCCAGGCTTTATATTAGTTATAACTAACTTCATAACTGACCTGGAAGCTGACGTTTCCAGTTCCTAGTGATGTGATTACCTATCACTTATAGGAAGAAAACATGGATCTAGATGTTACTGCGAATGATTTTAACAAGTCGTCACCAGTTTTTGTTATCTAATAAGTTCTGATTAAAAGCCCATAATTTTTGTGGCAACTCTGACCGATATTTATTTATTTGATTATTTATTACCTTTTGAGTTCGATTATTCAGAATGTCATTTTATCCGTGATTCAGCTAACATAGTACATTGAGGTTGGTAGAGGTTCCATGCACGCAGTACATTCCGAACACCTCATATCCTAGTCTTTTAGTTTTGAAGTTTCTTACTGAGCGCTTTCATTTTGTAGAAATGATTCCATGGAAACGCCAGTAATCAAACACTCTTAACGTCTTGCACTGCACTAGGATTCGAAACTGCTTCGTATCCGTAATTATATGCAAGTGATGACGTGGGGAATAGTGATAGTAACTATTTTTGGATCTTCTCAACTTTCAAGAAAGTTATAGGAAAAGTTAATCAAATCCGTATGCTTAATTCTTCCAGAAATATACAAGCGTTCATACCACTAAGATCGATTTAAAGCAGTTATTCTACTTTATTTAGTCACTATTTTCTGTCATACTTCGGACATTACATAATATAGTTGTCGCGGAATTAAAAGGTGGATTTTAAATGATTTCAATATGTCACTTACTTAAGGCTATTGTCAAGTTCATCATATTGCTATGTTTGATGTTGTGGGATTAGGTTGGAGGAAAGCTAGTGACGGGTAAACCAAAACCTAGCATTCGTCCATAAAATGATTGATTGTTGAAATCAGCCCGTTTCATAGGTCCAGACTACTTAGTTGGGGTCCGTGCGATACTCGTTACCAATGATAGATGTTTTATAACTTGGGTTAGAATCAGCCACAATGACGCCGATGCACTTCTTGTATTCTCTTAGATCCTGAGTTTTAAAAATTATCTTTACTTTTTCTTTAGCGAGTTTGTTTTTTCTTTTTAAGTCATTATGTTCAAGCCTAGTCTTTTCTGTTACCACTGATACTGCTACTACTCTGATATTTGTCTTGATCATTCCATCTCAGTGTACTGATGTTGTATGAAAACTTAATGTGCGACGTGTCAGTTTACAAAGTACTACTCACTGAGTGTCTATTGCAAAACGTAAAATGTCTAATATCGAGTTGAAAATACGATATTAAAAGATGTGGGATATTTTTGTTCCTGACTACAGACACCTAAATAATTTGTTTTGCTTCTGCTTTGTGTTGTTATGCATTATCTTTTCACTTAAACTATCTTATCACTTTTATCACGAGTTTGTGTAATATTGGTTAACGTGGTATAAGTTGCTAGTGAAATTTAGTATGATAAGAGATTGAGACTTTTAGCACCTTAAATCTATATATCTGGAAAGTATTCTGTTGAATAATTCTATGTGCTGGGACAAAAACAAAATGTTACTTGGTCACATATACCGTTTTGTGTACTAGTTTTTGAGTAACGCCTTTTCATCGGAGACGTACAACCAAGTAGGGTTTTCCACACCTTTAAATATAGATTAGGATTCAGATTTGTGAACCAGAAGTCATATACACAAACTACTAACCTACGACTTGAAATATGCTTGCTTTTTATAGATTTCCATTCTGACTGCATAGACTTGGTACAGTTGATCACATGTTCTCAGTTTATTTAACATTCATCTTCAGGAAAGAGCATAATTAAACATCAGAATACGGATTGATGACCCGTATTAATCTCTATCGATCCAAATATTTGGTAAAATTATGCTAATCTAACTAGATTAATGGAATGTAATTTAAAAACATTTTCTGTTCAAATTGGAATATTTTCTATCCTGTGAAAATGCTTGGCATAAGTCAAAACATCATGTCCTACGGTGATGGGGCTAGTTTATCCTTGCAAAATAGAAATTCGTCACTCAGGATTTTTAAAGCTTAGTAAGATAACCTCTTTGAACATTAATTACAAGAAACTAGTTATCCGGATACCTGAGTAAGTAAGACAGTCCTGTCAAGATATGTTTTATGTAGGTATCTACCGGAAGTGTACTGAAAGATAAAATTTGCCGTATACCATAAAGTTAGGGATTCTCTGTCTTGTTACTTAATCATTAGCAGTGATATAACATATGTGCACTTGATTCATACAGAAATCGGTTTGGGTTTTTCCCAAGTTACTTTTATGATTCTCCTGACGACTTTTCTTAAGTCACGATTACTTCATAACTTTATATACTTGATTAACTATTAGATATTTACTACTCGCTTATAACGTTTTGATTAAGATATATATCAAGCGAGTCCCACCAGTGCAATTTATTATTTATTTATTTATTATTTTATTTGAACACATAAATATTGGTACAGGGGGGGGCACCAAATATATATGCGCCACACAAAACAATGGTAATTTGAAGAGAGGGAGAAAAGAGAAAAAAAAGTAATGAACGTGGGGAATTATAAGAGAGAGAGAGAACAGTGGTGGGGGAAACGGAAAGGTACAATCAGAAGAGATCTTTCAGTTAAGGAAGATACAACCACTTTTTATGAAGGAAGTAAAAGAAGGTTACAGCAGGATCGCCACTGGCTTCTATTCTGAGCCATATCTGATAACTTCTCTAGCCACTGCGTTACACCGTCTTTCGGACCTTAACCAGGGAGTCGTGAAGGACCAACAGAAGCTAGCCCTTTGCAGCTTTCTTTCATACCACGACACCATGTCATATACTGACCACCTCTCCGCTTTTTCCAACCAGTCCCAGAGTCGGCAAATAATGCACGATGAGGAATTCTCTGGGACGACATTCGTAGAACATGTCCAAGCCACCGAAGTCGGTGTTTCAAGATGGTGACACCAATTTCATTATCGTCTCTGTGACCGAACACTCGATGCCGAACCTCTGCATTACTGACATGGTGTTGCCACTGGATGCCAGCAATCCTTCGGAGACAGCGATGAGCGAACACAGAGAGTCGTCTAACATCCTCAACTCGGAGAGGCCAGGTTTCACAAGCATAGAGCAAAACTACTCTCACCGACGCGTTGTAGATCCGACCTTTTACAGCCAGACTGACATCACGAAGGTGACTAAGATGGCCCAGATTGGCATAAGCTGGTCTGGCTTTCACTATACGTGCATTGAACTCATCACTCACACCACCACCGGCACTTGTGCAGCTACCTAGATACACGAACTTCTCGACTACTTCTATCTGCTCACCATCCAGAGTGAGTACAGGATTAGAATCCTGCCAGTCTTGTAGAAGTACTTTGCACTTCGAAGGTGCGATTTATTATTTATTTATTTTAACACATAAGTATAAGTACAGGGAGGCACCAAATACATATGCGCCACACAAATCTCAATTGATTTGTGTGAGGGCTGTGATACTGCCCGGGTGCCCAAACCGAAGCACATACCATACCTACGGACACTGATCTTCAACTGATTAAGTGCGGATTGCATAGCTTGGGCATTCTCGCACATTAAGACAATATCATCCGCATACTCAAGGTCGAGAAGTTTTTCTCCAGGCAACAGATCCACACCACCATTACTTACATCCATCAGAGCTGTTTCCAGAATGTCATCGATGGCAAAGTTGAAGAGGAATGGTGAGATTGGGTAACCCTGCCTAACCCCACTGCTTGAATGGAATAGTAGAGAAAGGTGGTTGTATGCCCTCACTCTGCCTGAGGTGTTTGTGTATAGGGCTTTTAGGATGTTAATAAACTTCTCAGGCACACCCTTCTTCAATAGACAATCCCAGAGAACAGTTCTGTCCAACGAATCGAAGGCAGCCCTGATGTCAAGAAACACTACGATTGTTGGCCTTTGATAAGTATGGCGGTGTTCTAACATCCTCGACCAGAACGAAACCCAGCCTGCTCCTCGCGAGTCAATCTTTCTCGGGTTTTGAACAACCTACGAAGTATGACGGAAGCCAATAGCTTGAACGCAATCGGAAGTAGACTTATCCCCCGATAATTGTTACAGGAACTTCGTGAACCCTTTTTAAAGATAGGGACAACTATCGACTCATTCCATGACGTTAGTACACTCTCTAGTTCCCAGATCTTTGTAAACAACGTCGTCAGTCCCTTAGTCAGAAAGTCACCACCATCTTTAAAAAGAGCCGGAGGTAAGTCGTCTGGGCCCGGTGATTTGTAACGTTTCAAGAGTTGGAGTTCCTTGCGGACTTCCGCCTCATTTGGTGGATCAGTCGTCACCGGCCATGGAGGGCAGGACAGTCTGACCGATGTTGCCGGAGCTGCAGGCCAGTTGAACTGCCCTTCAAAGAATTCTGCCCATCGTCCAAGACGTCGATGGATGTTAGTGATTGGCATTCCGTCATCCTCGCAGATTGCTTCGCTCACACCAGACTTCTTGCTGCCAGTGGCTCGGATGAGTTGGAAGAGCTTCCGGTAATTACCAGATGCAGCTGCTGCTTCCAACTCACTGGCACGCTCCGACCACCAGGCTTCTCGGTCCTTACGCAAGCTTTGCCCGATTTCATTACGTAACATCCTTCGTCTGTGGTCAAACTCACGGTCACCCGGAGTAGACCGACGGGCTTCAATCAGTTGTAAGGAACCAGAAGAAACCCAGTGCTTGTAAGCGGGACGTTTCGCAAACCCACAACAGACTGTACCCGCCATTTTCATGGCGTCATGCAATTGCAACCAATGCTCATCTATACTTTTCGGTGGAATGGTAGCTAGCCTAGAAGCTAGCTCGGTTCGGTACTTACTAGCAACATAAGTTGCAGCCAGCTTGCTAACATCAATCCTTTGGTGACGGTCACTTCGTTGTCCACTGAAAAGTAAGGTAAGATTGGCGCAGACCAGGGCATGATCAGAGGTCATATACGTACTCCAAAAGGAGCGGCAGTCTTGTACACAACCGCGTCAGCGGTAGCTGATCGCGATGTGATCAATCTGAGTCCAGGCTTGAGATGCAGAAGGAGGACGCCAGGTGGCACATCGGCGATGACTGTGCCGAAAGTTAGTGCTAGCGAGAAACAGGTTGTGGTCTGTGCACAGTTGCAGTAGACGTTCCCCGTTATCTGTCCTGCGACCAACGAGTCCCCATCGGCCACCTAAATGACTCTCTTCTGTGCCTAGACGCCCGACCTGAGCATTCAAGTCTCCAGCTAGTACTACAATATCTGTCGAACGCACTTTCTGGAGAAGAACAGTTTATTTATTGTATGATATAGTTCATGTAAAGTACAGTTAATGGATCACTTTTATTGTGCTCGGTGGAATAGTCGCTATTATGCTTCATTATTTCAAATTTTTAATGCTTTTTCATTTTAATTACTTTGAGATATTTAGGATACTTTTCTTGCTAAAAATAGTTTTTATTAAACACTTATTTTTGAGTGACATTTTTGGCTCAAATATGTTTTCAAAATTGTTGCTCATTGAATTAAGGACTTTTAACATCCAGTAAATTGAATTTGTTCTAAAGTTACTCAACAAATTATAAGCACCATCATTTAAATAATATATTTAGTTACTCAGGTATACTCAGACAGATATGAATTGTAATGTTTAAGTTACTTGTACTTGGTATGATCTTGAAATGTATAAGGTTTACACAGATACAGGTGTTAGTAATGGGTTTCTTATTTTTCTTGGGTTACTTTATTATACTTTTACCAAGCAATAGATATCATTTCTTCAATCTTTTTTGTTTAAAAAATACGTAGGTTCACCTTTAAAAAATGTGTGATGTTATGCCCACTATATCGGAGGACGGTAATTCAAGTCAAGGAGATCGAGACTCACAAGCAAGTGGAGAGGGAACTAATGTTGAAGATATGCTATTGAGTATATTGGATGAACGTGATAGACTAATGGAAAGTCTCCATGATGCACAAGATCAATTGGTATTTACACAGAATAGACTTGCAGAAGCTGAAAGAGAAAGAGATGTTTTAAATAGACAGTTATCTGAAAAACTTCCTGAAGTAAGTAAAATTTCCAGCTTCGTTATTTTTTTTCAACGAATATTATTTAAAACTTCGTAAATACTATTACTACTTCTACTCTAGCATGTCTCTTTTCTGATGTGGTATGACAACGTGAACCAATCCACATATGCACTAGGTTCCACACTATGTATGACTGAATAGCTGAGATCTCAGTTATTCGGATCAATCTCCCTGGCTTACAACTAGAATTTAGAGTGATAATTTCAGGAGTTCTAGTATAAAGTTGGGACTAGTTGAGTTCAGCCATGTCGGGTATGAGGCATTTAAAATGGCTACAAATTGACATGAATTGATTGAATTTTAGATAAGTAAACTATTTGATATCAATTCAATAGTCTAGAGGTTAGACGCATTCCACTAGACGCAAAGGCCTTAGGTTCGACCACTGGTTCGATTGTAGATGGACATTGTTAATCAGTCTTATGCTAGGATGAATCAACTGTCCAACGTTGTCTAGTTTTCGTTAAGTGTCTAAAGCCAGTACATGTTATAAACTATGAAAACAAAATTTCGTTTATTTATAGATCTTGATTAATTTTCATTCTGTTTGCTTTGATCTATACAATTGATTAGTATCAGTAATTTATTCAGTAGCTTAGCAATATTTCATTTGATCGATAATACATCAAAAAGAAAACCGGAAGACTATTACGAATAAATAAGTAAACCTACAACTATATGTTACACAACAAATCTTATTTTTTTAATCATTGATTAGTAGCAGCTATTCAGTACACTTGAAAATGAACTATATATATATATATATATATATATATATATATATATATATATATATATATATATATATATATATACTGATGAAGTCAGTAGTTTTACATTCCTTTTTTCTTTCATCAGTCTGGTATTTTTCTATGCACACCGGCACATTCTTAAATAGTAAGAGAAAAAACGATTGTGAACTTATTGTAATTGTATATAAGCTACATTCTCACATCTTTTAGCGTTCACTAACTTATTGATTTGTGACCATTGGATTTATAAACTATGGCTGTGCAAGTTAATTTATATATAGGTTTATAAAATAATTCACGTTTGTTTGTGTTTACTTCAGTATAAATATGTGCATATAACGCGCTTGTTACCAAAATAAGTCAATGTATATGTGTGTGCACAAGCACACGCGCGCATGCACATCTTTTCTCATTCTTCGATTGTATACAAAGTCTCTTGTCCTTACGGTGCTTTTCAGAAATAATCGAAAATTCCTAGAGTCATTAATATATAAGCTATAAAATGACTTTACCCTATTATGATAATTTCAATTGGTTGCTAGTATTTACTAGTCTTCAAAAATCTTTTTTACACAATACACATCAATCTTAAAATTAGCAACCTTGATTAATAGTATATATATATATATATATATATATATATATATATATATATATATATATCAGAGAGGTTTTGTCAAAATTGTTGGAACAAATCAAAATTAGTTTTCAGAATCGTAAGATCATAATGTAGTACAGGCATTATTTATTATTTACTTGAGCACAAACATTTGCACAAGGGGGCACCAAATACATATGCACCACTTAATAACAATGAGGCCAGTAGTATTTAACATTGATTTGTGTGAGGACTTTGGTGCTGTCAGAGAGGCCAAACGGAAGCACGTGGTTTTCTTAGGGGGCCACACCTAGAGCCTTTGACCTGAAGTTCTAATCCACAAGGCAGTGGAGTAACGTAAGGAGATGCAGTCCCAATGTAGCCGGTGACCTACCATATATGCATACTCCATTTGTTCCCCCTAAATCCTGAAGCCCATGTGATTGAACCTGCAAAGGGGTACCAAGTCTCTTAAGGTTACAAGTAGATCTTGTTTACAGGTGACAAATAGCATGCAGCATATGTTCAGGGTTTCCCGTTGACTACCTCCAACAACTTACCCTTTTACCTAAAATTTGTTAAATCATAGAGGTCAACACTGTTATTAACATTACATAATTCACTTAACCTACATAACGTATATTAGTGGTAAATACAGTTTATTCGACACTAGTGGTTCCCATTTATTTTGTCTTTTTCTTCAGTCTGGTTAGGTTGATGCATTGATAACTAAGTCAGGGGGTTAGATGATTACCACTGTATAAGACACTGGAATACGTTTTTTTGGTGTTGAAGTGGGTTGGAAGAAAGCTAGGGGCGGCCAGACCAAAACATGGCACAAATCCATAAAGCCATTGACAAGTGGACTGAGTCATGTTGATAGGTGTAGACTACCTGGTCGGGGACCGCGAGATGATGGAAACCGATGGTTAGAGACCCTGAATGACATGGCTCAAAATCGTTTACAATGGCGTAGGTGCATCCACTCTTTTTGTTCTCCAATATTCTTCATATCCTTCTTTTCCTCTTTCCAAATTTATTTCACTGTATTATACTCCTTGAATAACATCTTCAAACCCTAATGTTTCCGATTACTGCTTATCCTTTTACTACCTCTACCGCTATTGGATTTGAATCGACAGTTGTATCTCTGTGCTAATGTGGTATGGCAACTCGAACTAATGTACGTACGTAAGTACGTACGAAGTTCTACGTTTTTACCGACTGACTGACTGAATTATGGTAATAAACAAGTCCTCTAAAGCGATTATCTGTCGGTGGTGATAATAATGCTACTTCTATTATAATAAATTGGTCAGTAACTATTGACAAATTGCAAAATGTCAGGATACATCTTTACATAACTAAAGGATTTTTAAAAATATATTCATATCAACTTTTTTGTGCAAATTAATCTGTTTTTAAGATCATGATTTGGTTGTGTTTTGCTCTTTTCGTTTTTTATTTATTTGTTTTATTGTAATACATCCTTGGTGTTACACAAGCGTATATATATATATATATATATATATATATATATATATATATATATATATATATATATATACCTCTTTTCCATCTGTTTATCATTGAACATGACAGTTTTTGGAAATCTAAACAAATATCTTCTTGCTTTTTACCCAGTTCTTCTTCCCTCTATTATAGCCTCGTTTCGTTTATTTTTCGAAGTCTTGTTTCTCTCTCCCGGTAGAATAATTTGTCTTAGAAATTATCTCGTATGTCTTTCTTTATGTATTGTGCTCTTTTAATCTTTTGCCTACATGATATATCTCAGTTCGCATCTATCCTATCTAGTACTGAAAAATTACAATAACAGTTTATTTGAGATCCAAGTTATTTGACTTTTTTCTTTGTTTTTCTCTCTTAAATCCGGTATATTTGAGAATTATGTTCAAATATATATATATATATATATATATATATATATATATATATATATATATATATATATGGGTGAATGGTAATAAACATAATTTTTCTCTGACCTTTACCTTTGATTGTATGTTGTAAACTAAAGGAAACAATAAGACTCGTTACTTTGCTTAAATAATACGGTATTGATGCTGATTCTGTTTTTGTGCTAAACGAATACAAAATGTAACTCAACTGAATTCATATCAAAACACAAGATCTTTCATGATTATAATGCTGGTCATTTGTGTTACGAGATTTGTTCAAGTGAACTGTTTTATCTTTGTCAGTGTGGAATTGTGGAGATTGCTGAACTTCATTGAAATCACGAATCAATACAGTTTGGCTAACAATTACAAACGTGGAAGCACTAGATAGCCGTTTTGTCCTAGTATGAGATTCCTCGGTAGTGCATCCACAATTTAGAATCAAACCCAGGACATTCAGTCTAACGCGCTTATGTTTAACCTCTAGACCACTGAGCCGGTATGCAACGGTCTCGGCTTCTTTCTACAGCACTGGGAATGCCCACACTCGGAAATGTAAAGGTTAGGTGATCTGGAAGTTCCGGATCCGATTCCTGCTAGGATCGTTGACTCAATGCTGAGGAACTACATACCAGGCCGAAACAGCTTTTCAATGTTTATTACTTTACACTGATCGCCTAATTAAGATTAATTTCTAACGTAAACTGTGAATATCAACTATCTCTACTAGCGCTCTTTTTGTGATCTTTGATTACCGAATCGGAGATACTTTTTGATCATTCCAAATGTATGAAGGTTAATGAAAGAGAAAATATGTCAAAGCTATTCTACCAATAATTCATCGTTTGGGATCAAAATGGTGCAATTACATGAACTTCGTGCACTCAATTACTATCACTAGCTCTGACATATATCAATCTTATTCAGTGATACTCAATGGCTCTGACTAATATACATAGTTTCTTGAAGCACATTATTGGATTTTTCCTTATTTTTATTTCTACTAATTTAACTTATTAATCAATAGGCTAAAAGCAGTCATTGAAATCATAAACTGACCGATTTCAAAAACATGAAAGCTGCTTTGTCTTAGTATGGGATTCTTCAGCAGTGCGCACTAACGATTCTGCGCGCGGGGGTCAAACACAAGACCTTCGATCTTTTGCACAAACGCTTAACCTCTAAATCACTGAGCTGGCATCTGACGTTTTTATGTCTAATTCCAATCAATCCAATACATTACACGACCCTATAGTGAAGATTAGGAAAGCTATTTAAATATGCTATCCATTCATCGGTACTCTTTACTCTAATTTTAGTGGTAATAGAAATACGATTAAAAGAGAATGGATTTAACATCTGTTATAAACTGTGTTGTATTATTTATTGCTGTTATACTGCATAATGTTTCGGTTTCTCTTAGTGTGTATGTGTTATGTGTAGATGGATGCTGCAGTGTTCAATACTAAACTGTCTGAATATTTGAATAATTAAACATCACAATAGAATAAGTTGATATTGCAAATCGTTTGCTTTCATTTGCCATAATCACTTTTTTATTTTGCTTTATAATTTTGCTTCATTTTCGAAGTATTAATTATGATTAGAATTCTGGTTGTAATCGATTATGATCAGATCTATGTAATTGTGAGACTTTTGCTTTAAAGAAGGAACGAATTGAGCGAAGAAATTTCTTTTCAATTAGTT